TGAGACCTTTTGAGAACATCTCAATGTATTTCTGCTCTATTCTCCTCCTCATTTGAAGGCAACTGACATTCTTCTTTCACTTTTCTTTTTGTTTGTGAAATTTCCTTCTCCTCTCTCTCTCCCTCTCTTTTTTTTCTTATCCACTCACTTCTCCATCTGCTTTCACTTTTGTTTGCTCTGGCCGTCTCTCATCCCAACTTGATAATGAGGAATGCGGTGTGACCCTGACCTCTATCAGCCCAGGCGCGACCTTCTGACTGCCCTCCCGTCACCTTTGACCTTCTCTTTGACAGCTTGATTAATTACCCTGTGTTATGATTTATGAGTAAGTGCTATGTAAAAATAATAGACAACAGGTGGTCCTCTAAAAACTTTTTGTGGCATGTTTTCTTTTCCTGCCTAGCTTGATGAGCTATTTTAAGTCAGGGACTTGCTGAGACAATGCGCATTTGGCAGCACCACAGCATTTTTCTACCCTTGGACACCACGCTGGAATTCGGCACACTATGAGCAGAGGTGCAGAATATTGGGATGAAAATATTGCAATGGATTAACAAGGCGCACTCACCAAAATGCACGTTGGGTGGAAGCAGCAAATGGAGTCAAGTGACACTGCAGGCGTTTCAGTCTCAGGTCACGTCTTGAGAAAATTGCTCAAATAATGGAGGGGGCATATTTCAAGCTGAGCGGCATCTCCAACAGCTATGTTTACTTTAACGCTTCGCTGGTGACTTCTGATTGGTTGTCATGACCTCATCCTGCCGTTGCACCTAGGATGTTGCAACAGTGACATATACGTACCCTTCTCGCGGGGTGGGGGAAAAAAAGAACGGGACATATGTCTCTCAAAAAGATGAATGGATGTGGCCGTGTCCATTTTAACCACGGCCGGGTTTAAGATCTAACCACTTCAAGTTGTGTTTCCCTCGGGGATTAACTCTGATCTTGCTGCAAGCCATCTAAATAGAAATCTGAACTTGAAAAATCAGGTTGATGCGGCTTAGGAAAATGATCTCTTTCAGAGCCTCGCTTGCACTCCAAAAAGACGGTGACGTAGGTCAAAGATCCCACTCCAGCCCCTGACCTCCCTGGTCACATATGGTATCCCATCTCGGTGGATTAATATGCAGAGCTGGGTGCACCCAGTGCATTATTCATTTGGCCAGGCAGAAGAGATTTCCCGAGACTGGGAATTTACTTACTCTAGGGTTTGGGTTTTTGTTATTTTTGCTGTTTTTAAGCTTGCTGTTATTGTATGAGGCAAGAATTTTGATATTCTTTCAATTTCTAACATCTCATTCAAACTTTTAGTAAGAGACCAACGTGCTATTACATCGTGCTTGCTTGCTTGCCACTGTGAAAAAAGGCTCATAAGGCTCTTCTGCATTTTTCTGGCTTGGTAGTAAAGGTATTGAGTCTCAAATCTGTGATATTTGTGTTTCTTTCCAACATTTGACTTTTTCAACTACTTTCCTTTTAATCATCATTTGCAGACCAGATCTTAAAACAAGTATTATTTGCATTTGTAACTGTTTTTGAACCTGAAAGCAGAGTTTACACCCAGTCTTCTACCTTGAGAAGTAGCTACTTGGAGAAAGCTACTAGATGGTATAGATTGTGTTTCCTCTTTATTTGTCTTGAAGAGTTAGAATTCAAGGAATTATCTGCTAATAGAGCATTCTAGGTTGAAAGAGAAACCATAAGGGTATCCAACGAACTGTTTTTTCAGAGGATGAAACTGAGATTGATCAGTGTTTGTAGTAGTTATCACATCTCATAGCAGATGTACCAATGCGTGATGCAGACCGATTTTGACATCTGGATAAAATTTGTCTTCTCTCAAGCGCATGGTAGACCACTGGCCTTGGCTAGTATTGCTCAGTTGAAGACCTATGGAGGTCCCCTCTTCTTCTTCCCCCTCCAGGTTTAGCTTTATACTATAAAATAACTTTGTGCATTACACAGCAGTTTCTCCTTCTGTATGGGGTCCACTGTAACTTACACTGAATGTATATCTCTTATTTTTCAAATGATGAAAAGCTTTAGCCATTTTCTTGGCCAACCGTATTTAGTCTCAGGAAGGCTTACTATGTTCGACATTTTAATACTACTATAAACTTATCATAACTGAAATTGAGATTTTTCAATAACATTGTGAGGCAAGTGCTTCTAAAGAAGATTTTCATTAAGAAAAGTTACTTTTTAATGAATGGGATTTTAGCTTTTGTTAAAAGTTATAATGTCAAGGATGACATAGATCACTAGATCATAATGTTTGTTAAAAAACTTTCTCTAAAATATGTTAGGAGTTTTGTATGTTTATAAGTTTAATAGTGTATGGTAATTGTTTATAAGTTTAATGATATAAGTTTAATGATGATATGTATTTTTTAAACATAAATAGATCTTAAAAGCAACATGCTTTACCTGGAAGTTATTTAGGGCTGAGTATAACTTTGTAATAGAAAATGTATGTTTGGTGTAGGCAAAACAAGAGAGTGGTGCAGTTTTAACTCTCCGGTTCCGGTTTTCCATACTGTCCTTACAAGTTACTATCAAATCTTTTTTCTGGTGCCGTTGTTTAAATCTTGCAGCTTAGGCTGCAGTAGTTATTGAAGATGGAAAGGTAAAGGAAAAAATACTGCCTCATCAAAACAATATGAAAATAGATTATTTTCTTAAGAGAAAGTCTTCAAAATTGTAAGGCAATATTTTTTCCTCAGTTTTAGGAAAAATGCTCTCAGTTATCCCGTAATTATTGTAATTGTCCTGCCAGGAAGAAACTGCTCTCTTGGAAAAAATAATTTGTAAAGGGAGACGTGTTATGCTGCTTAAAATGTAATTGATAAAACAAAAAAAAATTAATTGATTTATGAAATAGGGAATTTAAAAATGGAATCATATTTCATCTGTTGGTGTTTGTGTGAAAAATTGACATTGTGTCCTCATAAAATTGGACAAATGAGTCATGTAATTTTCAGTTACATAATCAATAACTTAGACAAATTCTACTTCTTTGATGATTTATGTGTCTGTTTTGCGGTGAACTTCAAGCGAGCGCTGAGTTTCAAATTTCTGCAACACTTGTGAGCCCGTAATAAACACACAAAGTTTTTGTGTTGGGCGTTGTATAGAAAGCAGAAGGGATCAATACCCTGAACGTCTCTGTTTCAAGCGAGCGGGTCAAGAAGATGAGCAGCACACAAAGGCTTCCCGCTTGTGCACTTAGACCGCTGAGCGCTTTGCGCCGTGCTGCAAAATCCTGCTCGCATCTGATGTGCCCAGGCTCGCGTTGCTCCCAGATAGCTATGTGTGAAGTGATGGCATGGGTAAAATCTGAGATCTGCTTGCTTTTTGTTTGCAGTTTCTCTTTGCTTGCCCACCCCGGCTTGCTGCTTTTATTTATTTATTTATTTATTTATTTCAACTCAATTCACTGGGTAGGGAGGGCCGGGAAGAGACATGACAGGAGACCACTTACTCATGGCCCCGAGTCTAGTAAGGAGGCAATTTTCTCTTTGGCCTGCGGTGACCTTTTTTGACTATGTGCCTCCCAGCAGAGACAGTGTGCTGAATGCTGCTATTTCACCCTGGTTAGCCGAGTGCAACAGCATCCTTCAACCTCCTTTTGGTGGGAGGAGAAGCGCG